TGATACTTTACTCGCATATATTGAGAAAGAAATATTGAATTGTATTGAAAATGATGTAATAGTTAATCTTTTTCAAAATATGAAGACCAGACGCTATAAATTATAAGTATTTTCTATCTTATATTTAATATTCAATCTTTTTTAAAATTTTTTTTAAAACTGCCTATGCGGCTATGCCGATCCCAAGCCCTGATGCAAAAAAGTTGAGGGAAAATTTTTTTAAGGAATTTGTGCCCCCTCTACAAAAAGTTTTTGGCTCCGCCACTGATCATCCCAAAACGACCCTAGCATAGGCTTCGTTTGGGACAGTCTTTTTATTGTTTCTTAAAGCATTTTTTTATTACAAAAATTAAAATTTAGGTACTAGAAAGCTATTTTAAGAAGCAGGAAGAATGCCACCCGAAACGAAGCCTTAAACTTCTTTAGGGACGGCTTTCTTATTACTATTTAAAGTAACTTTTTAGTACAAAATTTTTTAAACTAAAATTTTTGTACTAAAAAGCTGCTTTAGAAAACAATAAAAAGCTATCCCAAATAAAACCTTAGCAACTCTAATTGTAAAAAATAACTTTCCATCATATATATTTTTTAAAAATGTTGAAAAAGAAACAAAATAGCAGTCAAGTAAAATTATAGTTACTGTCTGAAAAAACAAAGAAACAAAAAATCTAATGTAATCATACCCGTACGCTTCGTCGCTTAAAACAATTTTTTAGTACAAAAAATATATAAAAAAAAGCTGCTTTAAGAGGCAATAAGAAATCAATCCCAAACAAAACCTTAATCTTCACATTGAAAAATTGGATCTTCACATCATGGCCTTAATTTTCTGATCATTGCAAAAGAGGAAATTATATATTATTATGCTTAATTTCCAAACGGCATAAATCTGAGAATTTGAATCTGTATTCAAATTACGGAAAAAAATTACGGATTTCTACGTAAACTGTGCCACCAAACTGATATCTTATAGGGTTTTGGTTTCTCTCATACTATCATGATAATTATCTCTTTGTAATTATTTATTAAAATCATTAAAATAAGTTTGAATGATTGAGATTATGAAATAAGTTATTAAACGGATCATTTTTTTAAGTCTAAATAGGTTGTAAGGATTAATCCGAATCTAACCCGTTTAATTAATGGGTCGAAATTAAGAACCAAAATCCGACCCAATACTTCAGTGCTTAACTTCTTCCTTTAAAAAAAGATTTATTTTAGCTTTTAGGAAAAATGAAGATATGAGTAAAATGATTTTGGTTAAATCTACTAAAATTTTTCAATATATCAGTAATGGCTCAAAACTATTAACCTAAAACATTAAGATTATTGTGAGTTCATTTAGTAGTATGTTTATTTTAATTTGAGCCTCGAATATTCAACCATTTTATTCAAGTGGTATTTGAATCAATGATATTGTTAGATTCAAATTTATCTGTGACACCTGACTTTACTAGCAAGCCGACCTGTGGGCGTGCAATCAAGAACATGCATAATAATATAGAGAATGAGGTAATGTGAGGGAAAAATTGAAATGAGTTCTTAGAATCTTAATCACATAGAAAGAGGCCCAAGTATCATAATGTTCATATTATGCAAAAAGATGTGAAATGATCTTCATCGTGCCTTATTTATAGAGTTTTCAGGTCTACATAAGATATAATGTCCAATAAAAACTAAAAAATATAACGCTACACAAAATACCATTCTCACAAGTTGCTTCCGAGTTAACTGAGGGAGAGCAGGTGCTGTAAAACTCTAACGGTTTGTGTCTAGGCGGGCATAGTATTGTCAAGTATGCATTTGGAAAGCTCATAGTTTGGGTGAGATTTTAGTGTTAAGTAGGAATGTGTGAGTCTAGGTGTATGGGACCGAGCAACATTTATGAGTTGTTGGCGACTTATACTGATCCTTGGATCACCTAAAGGAGAAAAAATTGATCTAGGGTTGTGTAGAAGATGAACTAATTAGTCAATCAATCATAGTAGGCCGAGCAAGGGCTCTTTGAGTATGTGATTTCCTATAGTTTTACTTGGATTATAGAGGATGAAGGCTCTCACCCTGGGTTAGGTCAAGTTGTTGTGTTGGCTTCCTCTGTCCCATTAGATGAATGGCGAGTTGTTAGGTTGGTGAGGTTCTTCCTCATTACCCTTAACAGGGGCGACCTTCCTTTGTAAGCTCGGGCGAGTGAGGCTTGATATCACTTTGGCAAGTTCCTTTATGGGGCCATTTAGACATGAGTCATCTCCTTGTAACCCATTGTCAACTTGTTAAGTACTTATGAAGGCATATGAGAGTATACATACGCAATTAAGATAATGTGTTACATGCGACATGTCTCTTATATGTCTTCATTGCTTCTACTAAGGTCAAGCAAAATTTAAGAGTAGTTCCAAAATCTTTTTGAAGATTTGAACTATTGAAGAAGATTAGATTATTATCCCTAAAGTACCTTTATGTATTTAGTGAGAAGTCTTTCAATAAGTATCATCATATCTTTAAGCCGGGCATTCATGCTTTCTCAATTGGTGGGTACGTATTCTGCTTGGCTCAATCTCTATATGATTGAGTGAGATCTTACTGTGTGACATGGGATTGAATTAACAATTTTCAAATATGGTGAAATTGCAGCTAACATTGGGGACTCTCATTTTAGGGATATATTATTAAAGTCCATATGATAGTGCAAAATAGTTTGTATTAAAATTTAAAAGTGAAAGAAAGTTAAGTATCTAATATGTTAGTATTTACCTTTACTTGTCAATTTAAGCTTCTAGGTTGATGGATGTAGTTAGGTGTCATGCCCTGGGTCTATATTAAAAGAACTATACCTGTCTTTTCCTTTAGCATTTAACTAGAGCTTACCAATTTCTTATGAACAACATAAAGAATTATGCATGATGTCCAGAGCCTCAGATCATAGGATCCTTAACTTTATCTGCAATCATGTAAAACCTCATAATAATCGAGCACATAGCCCATCAAGTAATCAAAATCTTACAACTGAAATCATTATAATGTAAAAGAGAACAAAATATTGTAAATTATATAAATAAATATATTATTCATCAATGTATATATATTGGTTATCTGTATCAATAATCAGTCTATAATATATCATATCTCAGTTAGTTTTATTTCATTCTTCCATCATGAATTCTAATCAATCAATTAGTTATTCGATTTTTATCACTCAATCAATTTCATTTAATCTCATCATCTATTTTGCTCACATCAATCTGTCAGTTACAGAGTCAGTCATAATATCAATAAAACGGTATTGGGAATTAGTAAAAAAATTGTATCAGTAACAATATTAGTATTCTTAGTGTCAGGCATAATAACAGTAATAATAATCAGTAACATTTATTAGTGTTCTTAATATTAATATCTATATAATATCATTATTATTAATAATAATAAGTTGCTTTAAAAACAATACAAAAGTCATCCCAGATCAAACCTAAATCAACAATTAAAAGTACATAATTAAGGACAAAGCTAAAATAATAATAATAAAGGAACTAAGCTATACTTTGTATAATTTTTTAAGCACTTCAATCATGTGACGAGTTACATTCCAGAAGAATTACAATGTTATTGTATTCTCAGTTGTTTGCTTCTAATCCCTGTAAGGAATTGTATTGATTTCAAACTTTCAGAAAATCTCAAAATTGTCAAAGTTTTAGCTCAGAAAAATTCTTGACAGTTTATATGGCAGTCTTTTTAACCTACTTGCAGCTTAATTATCATGCTATTGATGTTTAGGGCTACAACTTTACATTGTTGCAAAGTAGGCAAACTTATAGAAGAGCAAAAGGCCAGAAAAAAGAACAAAAAAATAAAATCAAAACATACTAAACTAAGGTTGTCACAACACGAAAATCCGACTTGAACATGACCAGCAAATTTCAGGTTATATCCAACCCGATTTCGAAACGGGTCAGATTCGGATTCCCGGATTCAACCCATTTGAAAAAACGGATTAGGTTCAGGTTGAACCGGAAACCCGAACTCAACCAAATTTAACCCGTTTGGAAAAACATGTTAAGTAGAGTAGCGTCACCTCGCCTGTCGCTGTCGAGTCGCATGATGACGTTATGTTGTTGTCTCGTCGCTGACTCACCATCCCACGCACCAATCCACAATCCAACGCCTTTTTCAATGACATTCCAATCATATTGTGCCGTTGCCGGCGCCGAGCTCATCGTGACGCCTCAACCCGCATGTGCGATGCCTACACCATCACCAACCTGTGTTTTCACCTTCCCCTGCCACTGCCCAACACCTCTTTCAAAATGTGTCCGTGGATCTAATCGGGTCAACTTGGCAACCAACGCGGGTTAGATTCAGGTTGAAATATCTAACCTATTTTCAAAAATAAGTTGAATTCGGGTTGGGTTAACTAATGCCGAGTAAATTCCAGGTTCAACCCGAACCCAACCAGTGACACAATTTTATAGCCCACAAAATACAGTAATTTTATATTAGATTTACAAAATTAATAACTATATCATGCTCCCAATACTGTAGATTTCAGCATAAATTAAGACAACTTTTGACAATTATTTTTTTCTTGCTTTCAATAAATTTTTTAACTACAAAACTGTTCTAAAAAACAGTAAGAAAACTGTTAAACTTCATCAGATATTACAGAGAATTATAGTCCGATCTTCTCATACTCAATGATGGCATCCCAATTCTTACTGTATTAGCTCGAACGAGCTTCTGTTTTGTATCATAAATGCTTTTTTTCCCAAAGCGCTAGCATTGTTTTTTCACTTTTTGGCTACATCTGTCTTTGCTTCCAGGCAGATCTGTAGCTCAACATATTAGAATTTTAATTAGTGCAGCAAAAAAAAGTCATAGTTGAAGAGCTCAATTAACTAAATCCAAGACAAATTGCCTCATTCTATGAAACCGCTTAAATAAAAGAAGTTAAACTCTTAAACATCAAGGCATCTTTTGACGTAATGGTTAGAATTTTATTAAGAAACTCTGCAAATAAGCGTGCCCATCCCGGAGCAATTCTGAGATGGATGACCTACTGAGAAGTTACACCAACATGACAAAACCGTGAGGCTCTTAGACCAAAATGAACAATATCTCGATAGTTAAGAGTTTGGACTGTCACACTGTCAGCTCATGATATTCTAAATATGCTAAAAAATATTCAACAATGCTATTAAAGCATGCAGACTTCCACCGCTTTTTTCCAGAAGGGAAATGCCAGTTTTTTTTTTTTTTTTTTCTTTTTAGTTCGATGCTGTTGTACATTATAGATCTATCCTGCCACAGAAAATCATCATCTTCAATCACTAGAGCTTGTTCAGTGCTTCAGCCAGTAATTTCTAAGTTGAGCAATGTGAAGGAGGATCTCATCTCGACCCATATTGGTCACACTACTTGCCATAATCCAAGGGGGTGCTGCCTGGAAGTATTCAGAAATTAAGTTGAGGAAATCTTCAGCATTGTCTTCGGGCATCTTCGCACCATTTTTCTTCTTCTTTCGTTTGTCGCACTTTGTGAAGATCAGAGTCATCGGAATCTGCTGTAAGAAATCGAGATGAAGTGACTGCAAATGAATGGTGCATAAAAGCCTAAAAACCAGCTATGGTGACCAAGAAAGCGTGTAATTTTTGCATGAAATAAATCCCAACACATACAACAACAACAACAACATCAAGCTGGATCCCACTATGTGGGGTCGGCTACATGAATCCCTTTTCTCCATTGTGTTATGTTAAAAGTTAAATTCTCATTTAAATCTAATAAAGAAAGGTCAATTCTAATATTTTTTAATCAAGTCTTATTAGGTTTATCTCTACCCTTCTTAACATAAGTCAAATCTAATAGACTTAGTTTCCTAACAGGGTCATTGGAAGACTAACCAAACCATCGAAAGCGACTCTCTCTAATCTTATCTTCCACTGGAGCTACTCGAACTTTTCACTTATATGCTCATTTTATATCCTGTCTTTAAGAGTAAAGCCACTCATTCACCTGAACATCCTCATCTCTGCAACACTTAACTTAATATTATGCTCCTCTTTTAATGGCCAACATTCTGCACCATAAAGCATTGCATATCTAGCCACCATCTTATAGAATTTTCCCTCGAGTTTGGAGGGTGGACTTTTCTGTCACACAACAAGCTCGATGCATTCCTCCACTTCAACCATCCAACTTGAACTCTATTAATAATATCCTCATCTATTTCACCATCACTCTTAACAAAGACCAAAGATATCTAAAACGTGTACTCTTATTAATGACTTGATCATCTAAGTCACAATCCCCCAACTAGAACTATTATTACTAAAATTAAATTCCATATATTCAATTTTAGATATACTCAAACAAAAGCCTTTAGATTCTAAGGTAGACCTCCATAATTTAAGTTTACCTTCAACTCCCTCTCTAGTCTTATCAACAAGAATAATATCATCAATAAAAAGCATACACCATGATACAACCTTTTGCAAATGTCTAGTGAGAGCATATATGACTATAGCAAAAAGATATGGGCTTAAGGTTAATCATTGATGTAATTCAACTGAAATAGAAAAATAATTGGTCAAATCTTGTGTCTGGACACAAATAACAACTCCTGCATACAAATACTTAATGACTTGAATATAAGCATTTTAACCCTTCTTTTCTAAAACTCTCCTTAGCACTTCTCTTGGAACTTTATAATAAGCTTTCTCTAAATTAATAAATATCATATGTAGATCCTCCTTATTCTCTCTATACTTCTCCATCAAACCTCTCAATAAATGTATAGCTTTCATAATAGACCTACCCGGCATGAATCCAAATTGATTTTGAGAAATATTAGTATCACGCTGCACCTATGTTCCATAACTCTCTCCCATAGTTTTAAAGTATGACACATTAATTTAATTCCTCTATAATTTGCACAATCTTGTTTTACAAAAATCCCAACGCATGCAACCAAAAACTTCATTTTTTAGTAAATGTTTTACAGGTTCAGAAAATATATTGGAAATAATGTTTTGCAGGAGCCATCGATGTTCTAAAAGCGTTGAGGAATAATTTTTCTAAAGAACAAGTTCATCAAATGAGAGGAGGCCTAAACAATCTTATATTGGAAATGAAATCTGCTATTAGAAAATGTAATGACCATTACTGAAATGGAATCATATCCACGGGTAATTATGATTAATCCTAACATGACATACATGGTGATGTCTAGTCACAACACAAAGGGCACTAGCATAGGAGTACATGAGCCCACAGTTTGCTTAACAGCTTTCCCCATTTGACAAGTCCAACATTGACTTACTATTAGTGATATCCGTTCTAGGCAGAGGTTAGTAGATGGTCTTACATTGTCTTACATGACTAGCAAATCTCCCATCATATGACATAAAACTAACAAACAAGAAATTCTCACAAGTAGCAGGAATGCAAAAGTTTGATCTTTTAAAGATGAATCCATTACTAAATATGCAATATCAAGTCGAGACATATAAATTATTTTTAGACCAAGATAAATCAGATAAAAAGCAAAGGCATACTAGATGCTTACTTTTATTTTCTAAAACCCTGACACTTTCAAAATCATTGCACTAAGCAAGATAAAAACTTGACAAAATGTATCAACAGCTTTATTCTCGATTCTATAGTATGAAGTACAAGTGAATAATCATGCATAAATGCAACCCATCTTGTGTGATGGGTATTCAACTTTTTCTAGGAGTGTAAATACTGTAGAGTTTGATGGTCAGAATATAAGCGAAACATTTGTTGAAGAAGGTAATAACATCAATACCATATGACGTGCACAACGTAAAACTCCTTGTCCTAGGCGAAGAACTTTTTTTAACATCATCGAGGTTTTCATTTAAGCGCACAATAATATTATTTTTCCTAACTTAATACACTACCAATTCCAACCCCATCCAACCTCCCCCATCTTACCCCCATTCCAACCTCTACGACAATCTATTGTGAAGGTCAACCTATTATTAAGGTTTCACAACTTAACAAATGTCGCCTACATAGTCCACTTTGAATTAAATTTCTGTCACTAAAGTGTCGAAGTGTCTCCTTATGAGACAAAGCTATTGGGGAGGTACTGACAATTTTTTAAGGTAATTGTGTACAAAAATACTTTTAAAGCTATAAACATCATAAACTAATACCTAGGGGTGTCAATTTCGGGTCACGGGTCGGGTTCGGGTCGAACCCGGAAATGACCCGGCACTATTCGGGTCAACCCGAACCCAACCCGTTTTTACAAACGGGTCGATTTACCGGACCCGAACCCGACCCGCTTCGGGTCAACCCGACCCGACCTGCGGACACGGCAAGGCCGGGAGCAGCTTCACGGCATCGGCAGCAGCGTCCGGCCACAGCGGTGCGGCAGCAGCAGCGTCCGGCGGCCACGATGTCCGGCGTCCAGCGGCCGGGCAGCGGTCACGCGATGCGATCACGGGTCAGAGGGCGGGATTCGCGATGCGGACATGCAGTTATCACGCGGGATTCACGAAGCGAGTCAAGCGACAGCGCCGCGGGAAGCTGGACCGCGGGTAGCGGTCACGCGGGGGGAAGCCGGACCGCGGGCAGTGGGGCAGCCGGACCGGTCATGCGGGATTCGCCGATTCGAGCAGGGGGCGGGATTTGAAAAATTTTAAATTAAACGGGTTCGCGGGTTGACCCAGCAACCTGTTGGGTCAACCCGAACCCGACCCGTTTTTCAAACAGGTCAATTTTTGGAACCCGAACCCGACCCGTTTTGAAATCGGGTCGGGTCCAACCCGAATTTTCCGGGTCGGGTTTTCGTGTCGTGTCAAATATTGACACCCCTACTAATACCGCAACATAGTTCAAATGGATTGATTTTGTTTTACAATGTATTTAGGATACACTTGATTTCCAAATACTTCTAAGTAAACAACCAGTAAATCTTTTCCAATAAAAGGAAGTTTTCAGCTTAAAACAAAACTATTAACTGAACTGCAACTTGCATTGGTATATCGCCCTATTACAAAGAGTATGATATAATATTGTATTCGCTGTAAGGGAAGGGTCAAGTTATGAAGTCTCCACCTTGAATTACCAATTCATCCTTACAAAAATGCTGAGAAATAACTAAGCAAGTAGACAATGGGGCAAGTAACAACAGACTGAAAGAAAGTAACAAACCAAAACGCTTACCTGATTCTGACTGAGCCAACCGGCATATTCAAGATCAATTTTCTTTGGAGGGATACTGGCATCTATAAGAAGAAATACACATACTAGTGTCTCCCTCTTCAAAAAATATTCTTTGGTGAACCCATCCCAATTGATTCTAAGTTTTTGAGGCGCAGATGCATATCTGCATGGTCCATATTTCAAAAGAAGTTTCAATAAAACAGAAAGCTAGTGTACTAATGAGTAAGAAAATTAAAAATAGGCATCATAAAAAAGTTAATAACTTTGATTAACTTAATGAAAGCAAAAACCAGTAATTCACAATGTATAAAAGTGTCAGAATTAGAGATAGTATGTGAACAAGTTTCAGGACTTGAAAATTTTGCTCACAAGGGTACCATAATAATCACTTTTGATTGATTTGAAATAATATTAAAAAAAAAAGATAGGAGCAAAAGTAAAACAAAGATAAAATTGATGTATGTAGTTTAGTCGACGTGAAAATGATAATTACCAATGAATATTACTATAAGATGTGTGATAAGTTCTAGTATCTTTAGAATACCATGTAATTTAATAATACTAATGAAAAATATAGAAAAACTTGATAAATCTGTCATAAAACTATATTATATGGATGAGTATTAAGAAATAAAAAAGAGTTTGATAGCCACGTTGAGGTAGGGGCGGAATCAGCTTCTTTTTTAAAAAGTGGGCAAACTTATCATATAAATAAATTAATATTTAAAATATAAAATAAAAATGCATAATTCAAAGAAAATCTTATGTTTGATTATGATCAATAAAATGAGCAATGCTCACAAGTTAATCATCGTATTTTAAATTTTTTTTATAATGTTATATTATAATTTTATTAGAAATCAAATCAAATTCAAATCTCACCAAACAATTTCATTAATCATCGATAAATAACTAATAAAATGTTAAACCAATAAATTACAAAAAAATTATTTAACTTCTAATCTCAAAATTAATACATGAAAATCAATCATCACTACAAAAAAAAATGAAAATCAATCATCACTGCATACTAAACTGTAGAAATTGAATTTTTCTATTATCCAATTAGTTGGTTCTCTTTCATATAATAATTAGTTAATAAAATATTCCATCTCACTTTAAAATCAAAAGAAACAAAAAAAAAGTAAAATAAGAAAAGCAGACAATAAAAAAAAAAATTTACTAAAAAAAAGTTGGGATGCGACGTTAATTGCAATGACCTATATTTATAATTTATCAATATTCTTCCTAGAGACCCCCCCTACCAAGGTCTTGCTTGCTACTCATCGCTATTTGTTCTTCGACTTCGCATGTGTGGGTATAATAGGGTTTTTTATTTAATTTTTTAAATATGGGTAAATAGAATTTGAGGAGATAAAATTATCTAAATAACTTTTTTAATTTAATAAACTTATAATTTCAAGGACGGGCAATTGTTCACCCTCAGCAAGACAATTCCGCCTCTGAGTTGAGGATAGAAAATGTATGATAAAGCTAAACAGGATGGAGATAGAAATGTTACATTGAAAGATGATTTTTTCGAACAACACAATAGAGGTTGATAAACAAGTTGCTGGAAAAAAAAATGACAATGATAATATGGATTTATAACAAAAGTAGAAAGTATGGTGATTGAGATGATACATTACAAAAGTGGAAGTAGTGCAAAGCAAAGGATCTTCATCATCCATTAATCCTTTTTTTCTTCAAATTTCTATCTCTAAGTCTCCTATTGTACATAATGTACACCAGTGAATTCATCCTCAATGTCGACAAACGATTTCTCCTCTTTGTATGCACTTGGTTGTATGTACTCCAATTTCTTTCACAGTCAGATGAATAGTATGTCAAGCCCAAAACTTTCACAGCAAAATGATGTAATTCTGGAGCCCCATCACCAAATTGAATCCACCACTCAACTGAAGATCGTTTGACAATTGTATCTTTTGCTTGTTTTAATCCAAAAAACCTTCTTTGTTCCTAAAAGGTACCAATAGCATGTCAGCATTTGACCTTTCAGTTGCATCGTCTTATTAGATGATCCATGCAATGATACAATCCCAACTTTATTTCAGGGTTTATAAACTTATTCTCTGCATATTGATATTGAGGGTTTAGGTAGTAGCCAGCGTCATGCAAGTTTCAGTGAAGCTGTAGTTCCCACCTATCATCAATAATATTCCAAATTTCCCTAAAACTTCTCTTATTGCCTCCTAAGTTGGAGGCAATCATCTCTTTGGCTTCATCTATGGCATTGTATATGAAACCCATTGCAGGCTTCTTTTCAGCATCCACCATCCTTAAAACATGAATTAAAGGTCTAGTGGTGGTAATAACATATAAGACACTTTGCCAAAATCTGTCATTTAAAACAATCTTTCTAATCTCTTTTCCCTCAGCCCTCTTCGTCCAAGCACAACTCAACTACTGTGTAGATGTGAACATAGCCTCTAAAAGTTGCCTAGCATCCAGCATGCTCTCTAAGGTCAAGTAAGCGATGCAAAATCTTGTTGTTGCTGCCCTTAGAATTTCTTTCTTCGAAGATTTTCTCATAAGAGCTAGAACCCAAGAGTGGTTGTAAATAAACTTAGTTATTTTATTGGCTTTAGTGAGTGCAATTTATGTTGAGGTAGCTCCCCAAGCTTCTCAAGAATCAGATCTATGCAATATGCAGCACATGGAGTCTAGTACAGATGTTTCCTCTTCTCTATAAGTTTATTACCTGCAGCCTTATAAGAACTTGCATTATCTGTCACAATTTGTACAACCAAATGTTCTCCAACCTCATCAATAATGCTATCTAATAATCTAAATATGAACTCAGCATCTTTGACCTGGTTAGATGCTTCAATTGATCTTAAAAACACAGTACCATAAGGATTATTAATGAGGATGTTGATCAGACTTCTATGTTTGATATCAGACCACCCATCTGATGTAATTGTTACACTTGTTTGGTTCCAAGTTTTCTTAATTTCTTCGATGTTTTTATCAGTGTTTTCCAACTCCTCAAAATTTATGTTCTTAAATCATACATGGTTGGAGGTTTGAACCCTCTCCCAAATGCTCCAACTGAACGAATCATGTTGTAATAAGCAGGTGATGTTGCAGCATTAAATGGAATTGCATTTTCGTAGAAGAATCTGCCTATATCCTTACACACTCTTCTCCATATCTCCCTTGCATTTTCTGGGGCCATCTTCTGTGTAGCAGAAGGCCTATCATCTGATGTGTCAACTATATAATGATCCATATGCCCTTTAGCACCCCTAGATGAAATGGGCTTCATAGAAGAAGATGAATCCTTACTCACTCCCGTAGTAAGATCCAACATCAACTCTGTCCTCAAATTGCTTCTGTGCAAGATGTTTTGACATGGTAGACTTATTCATGTATGACTTTATCTCATACCTTACAGTATCAGGAACTTTGGAGCATGGAGCAACATTCTTGTGAGAACCTGAAAGGTGTTCCTTCATCCTAGTCACACCACCTTTCACAACTTTATCACAGTAATTGCATTTCAGATAAACATATATTTTGTCACTGCCTCCTACATCCACCTAAGTGCTATGTTTCCATTCTGGATCTTTTCTATGACCTGATGCAGCTTTATCTTTATTTCTGACCATTCTGATTGAGCAAAAATAGGAAGTGAACGAGTTCTTACTAATCTTTTCTATGACCTGATGCAGGTCGGAAGAGACAGCAGCCTCGGACAGAAGCGGCCGCCGGTCGGACGGAGAAGACAGCAACCCAACTAGCAGTAGAAAAAACCTCCAAGAAAAAGGCGAAGAGAGCAGCTCTCGTTTAGGGTTTAGTATGCGTACTGGATGTGTTCAGTATTATATAATGTTGAGCCGTCGATAAAGCAGAATACTGTATATTCTATGTGTATATCCTGCGTATTTACGACGTCTATACTGCGTATGTGCGACATTTACTATGCATATTCTATGCGTATTTTGTAAAACTTCTTCTAAAGTATTTGTAAATTAGCAGTTAGAGCAGCCGTAACTTAATATATGATTTTGTATTAATAGTTAATAAAACATATGATTTTCTGGATGTGTTCAGTTTTATATTATGCGTAATCTATGCGTATACTGTGCGTAATATCTAGGTATATAATGCGTGCTCCTTGCATATGCTGTGCGTACTCTCTGCGTAAACATTGTGTAATTTGAAAAAATGAAAAATCATTAAAAATCCTTTTTCCTTTTAAGAATATCTATGTACAAAATAAAAGCACAAGGAATAAATAACAAATACAATTTTACAAGAGAACCTATGTACATTACTACATTCTATTAAAAAAATTCAACCAAAATAATTACAAGAGACCCTTCCTTTAATTTATAGACATAATTTTCAAACATAAGTAATGCAGTCTTTGACAGAATGAATGATTTTTTACTTCAGAAATAAGTCTAAAACTTCTGATAGTTTATGATTCGTTTGAGTATAAGGATTACTTAGTTTTTTAATTCTTACGATTGAGAAATCTACTTAATTATCCACATTCTCAAAAGAATCACAAACTAACAGCAGCCTTAGACTTACTTTCTGAAGTAAAAAATCTTACCTTCTATCAAGACTGTATTACTTCTATTTGAAAATCATGAGTTACCCTAAGCCAAGCGTTCCCGCATTAAATAGTAGAAATTTGAATGTTGAACAATAGCAAGTAATAAATGCTCATAAAAAATCAACCAACCCTCTTACCCTCCCAACCATATCAGTCACCCGCATGTAATCATGTCACGGCCCCTAAGTCCTTACAAATTTAACAACTAAAACATGTAATATAAATTTATAGAAAGATATGCATATATTATGCGTATTCTATACATCTTTTGTGCGTACTGTATGCGTGTACTATGCGTACTATATACGTTTTTTTGTGCGTGCGTGATACGTATTCTTTAAAAACATTCAAATAAAATTTATAACATTAAAACCATTTGTAATTGATCAAATACACATTTAAAAACAAATATCTATTATCTTAATTTAAACAATTAATAGAAATTTAAAAATATGGATAACTGCGTAATATATGCGTGTATTATGCGTATCTTATGCGTATTTCGAGCGTGCATTATGCGTATTCTTTTAAACCATTTAAAAATATTTATAATTTTTTTATCATTAAAAAATAAG